AACAATTGGTCATCACAATTATATTTATTTTTCTAAAAATACCAAAAATAATAATAATAATACTAAGTTTGAACAATAATTTGTATCACATAAAAAAAAAAAATGCAGATGTCATCGATTTAAAAATTATACATTTTAGATTAAAACATGCTAAATTATTATATAATAAAAGTATAGAAATAAATACATTATTTTAATTCAAGTATGGGGAAGGAAATATTGTGAATGAAATATGGGGCAAACTGATGACGTGGGACCCAACAACCTACATGGGCTGCCACGTAATCGAGTCTGATCTGTCGCGTTCAACAGCTGGCTGAATAATATTGAGTTAAAGGGACGGGATTTTAGCTTAATTACAAGCCTACCTCGCCATCTCTCCGGTGACTGAGACGTTCATAATCAAATGGAATGGCGAAGAAAATGGCTGGATGATCTGTCCTTGTCCATTTCTCCTTCAATCATAATAGAATCCATCACTTAGAATCAATACTCTTTTTTGCCTTTAAATTTCCATTTTTAGGCCACTCAAGTATTTACCGCATACACTTTAGTCTCCTAAATGGTAAATAATGATATTGTCTCACATCTCTTAAGAAGAAGTTTTTACCTTCTACCCGTTTTGAGGCTAACATCCTCGTTGGCACACTGTCTAGTGTCTGATTCTGATATCATTTGTACTGGCTAAACCTATGCTTTGTTCTCCTCTACCATCGATATTAGACCTCACAATCCACCCCCTTGGAGTTTCAGTGTCGTTATTGGCACACTGCCCCCTCAATGTTTAGTTCTGATATCATTTGTAATAGTCCAAACCCATGTTTCATTCTTCTCTATAACCGATGTTAGATCTCACAATCCACCCCCCTAAAGACCCAGTGTCCTTATTGGCACACTGTCTACTCAGTGTTTAGTTTTGATATTATTTGTACCAGCCCAAACTCATGCTTCGTTCTTCTTTATAACTGATGTTAGATCTCACAATCCACCCCCCTGGAGACCTAGCGTCTTTATTGGCACACAACCCGATGTCTGTTTTTAATATTATTTGTAACAGCTCAAACCCATTGCTAGAAAATATTATCCGCTTTGGGCCGTTACGTATTATCGTTAGTCCCATAGTTTTTAAAATGTATCTTTTGGGGAGAGGTTTTTTTTCACCGGAAATGCTTTGTTCCCCTCTTCAACCGATGTGGGGTTACACAAGTGATAATCAAAACTTAATTTTTGAAATTGAAGATTAAGGTTCACACTTTGAGAGTGGTCTAGGCATCGAGCGAATCTATAATTAATAGTTCAAAGAGTGAAGGACAATATGGAGCCATTTTAAAATCTTGTGGCCAAGCTTGTTTTTATTTTTATTATTGTTGCCTTTAAATAAATTGTTTACCTAATTATATGACTAAAAAATGTCCCTTTTGAGTAGAAAAGTCAATTTTATATTTTTTTTTTTAATAATAAAATCAATCATTAAACAAACTTAATTAAAATATTACAAATATTTTACATGATAATTGGTAGTGGTACCATTTATTAAATCGTGGTAATAACGTGAATGTTGAAGGGCAAATTGGGAAACTCCGCATAACGAGGATCGTCATTTCCTTCTTTAGCAGGCGTCTTATTTAAGCCACTCGAAAAACTTCTGAAACACTTTCCATTTCGCAGCCGAACGAATCGCGATACGAAGCAGAGCTCTGTGGAAGCTTGCACTCAAATGAAGCTCGACAATGGCGCTAATTTCCGCTAGAACCAAGATTTCCAGGGTCCTCTCTACTCTCTCTCATAAGAATTTCCTTTCTAGGTCTCCGTTTTTCTCCAATGGAGTACAGCCGGTTGATCGTCTCCACCCGCTGGGAGGGTTCGGGCGTTCATTTGCATCCTCTGCTGTCGCTTCCGTGGAGCACGACGCCCTAGGTTCCAGAGCTATGGGGTTTGAAATCTTGGGTGTCAAGGATTACGAGGACTATCGGAGGTCTCTCTATGGCGAAATCACTCACAAGGCTTTGCTTGTTGATGCTGTTGGCACTCTTGTTGTCCCTTCTCAGCCCATGGCTCAGGTCTCCCTCTCTCTCTCTCTCTCTCTCTCTCTCTCTCGAATTTCGTTTTCAATTTCGGTGTTGCAGTTTGTTAAATTTTTCCGATATGTTTTGTGGATTTTGTTACAGATATATAGGGAAATAGGTGAGAAGTATGGTGTGAACTACTCGGAAGGGGAGATTCTTAATCGATACAGAAGGGCTTACGAGAAGCCTTGGGGAGGATCTCGCCTCAGGTCCACTTTTCTCATTCGATTCTCTGGGTTTTTCTTTCGGACTGTCTTCGAATTTCAGTTTACTATGACTAATTTTGTATTTATTATCCTTAATCTTGTCTGGATGGATCTCGTAGACCTTATGTTCTGTGAAAGAAAAGTCTCTTGCATCTCTCCACACTGTCTAAAAGACCATTTAATGGTTGACTACATCAACTCGAACGTATAATTAAGAAGCATTTATATTGTTTTTTAGGTGAATAACTGTTCATTGAAGTGCATGTGCCATTTGGGTTTATAGTTTAGAAGAAAATTATTTGGCCTAATCAGGGCAATTTCAAGGAAAATATTGTGTATTTAATGATTTTTTTGGCACAATTAGGTCACTGGCCATTATAATTCTAGCTTTATGCTTGTGGCCACCCAGTAGATTATTCAGTTTTGTAAAGTGCTTTTGTCAGAATTAAGTGGACTTAAACCTTTAAATTTTAATCAGAATTGATTGTCATGGCCTCTGTTTCTTGGTCAATCCAAATATTAAATTGGTCTAAATATCTTTACTAATTGTAAATCAGCCTTAAAACTACCACCTTTTTTCTTCTGTTCTTTTTTATTGGAGCAATTGCTTGCTCGTTGATGATCTAGTGAGATCTTGGTTTACTATGAGCATAACATTAAAGATTTTGTTTTGTCCTGGGGAAATGATTAAGAAACATGTTTAATCCAAACATGTTTCCTTTATTCATTTGTTGATTTTGAGGACTGTCTTGTATGACAGATCCAGAGACAGTGAAAGTTTTTAATTCTTCTTCAATTTCATTACAATTAATGGCGTGATGGAAGTAACTGCTTTGATGGAACTTTGCAGATATGTGAGTGACGGGAAACCCTTTTGGCAATATATCGTCAGTTCTTCCACGGGCTGTTCAGATTCTCAGTACTTTGAAGAACTCTACAATTACTATACGACTAATAAGGTTAGAATTTTTGGCAGCCGCTTTTCCCTCTGGCGTTTCTACTGTTTGTGATGATTTTGTTCTTATTGTTATGATCTTTTGTTCTGATTTGCAGGCTTGGCACCTTTGTGATCCTGATGCTGAGAGAGTCTTTAAAGCTCTTAGACAAGCAGGTGTAAAGATAGCTATTGTGTCAAACTTCGACACTCGGTTGAGGCCTCTTTTGCGGGCTTTGAAATGTGATCACTGGTTTGACGCTGTAGCAGTGTCAGCTGAAGTGAGTTATTCACCCCTTTTCATTGGTTCTGTTGAGATTTCGTTTATGTGTTTTTGCTGCTTGCTCTTCCTTTTTTTTTCATGTGTATTTCATGAGCTAGGTTTAATAGCCTCTGTATTCACCATTGTCATAGCTACTACCGGGACATGACTTGGTTATAAACTTCTTTATTTTCACATGTACATATGAAATTACATCAGTTGTTCTTCGTAACAGGTTGAAGCTGAGAAGCCTAATCCGACGATATTCCTAAAAGCCTGTGAATTGTTGGGAGTGAGACCTGAGGAAGCCTTACATGTTGGGGATGATCGTAGAAATGACGTATGGGGTGCAAGAGATGCCGGTTGTGATGCATGGCTTTGGGGAAGTGATGTACACTCCTTCAGAGAGGTATGATCCAAATTAATTACTGTAGAAGGAAATAACCTACCATATGATGTAGTTTGCTTTCATTGATCTGTCTTCAATATCACTGTCCAAGTTAATTGACTTACTGCCTTTCTCCATGGCTTGTATTGATATTCTAATATCATTCTCCTCGTCGTCGTCACCGGTTTCTTGTATTGACATTCTGGCTCTTCTTTTTGTTCTTTCTTTGGTGAAGCAGGTTGCAGAGAGGATAGGAGTGAAAGTGTGAAGAAGTTTTTGAAGTTGTTGGGTTTTCATGGAAGGTCTCTGAATGTACAGGTTTTAGCAGAGAGCGCAGGTGTTTGTATTTACTGTGCGGTGTGTTTTAGTTTGTAGTTTGTAGTTCGTAGTTTGTACCGAGCACACTTACTCGACATTGTCGCTTAAGTGTGAACGGTCTTTATGATATATGCATTGAACTGTTTGGGCTGAAAAGACTTCCATATCTTTCTCTTTTCTATGCTTATTCACTATATCGGTTCCATTATTTGCTTGGAGTTTCAATTTTGGGATATTTCATTTTCTGGGTAAACTGAACTTGGATTCTCCCCCAAGTGAGTACCAATAAGAAAAATCCAACGAGTTTGGTAGAAATTTGGACCTCTAGAGAGCCCAAGCCCATATCGAAAATTTGAAAGCCCATTAATAATTTTGAGACCTCAATAAGGAAAAGACTGAGAGCCCAAGCCCAATATTCACAATTTGAAAGCCCAATAGAACTCCGAGAGCTCAATAAGACAAAACTAAGAGCCCAAGCCCAATATTAATAATTTGGGAAGCCCAATAAGAAATTCGAGAGCGCAATAAGAAAAAACTGAGAGCCCAAGCCCAATATTAACAATCAGAAAGCCCAATAAGAAAAAACTGAGAGCCCAAGCCCAACATTAACAATTAGAAAGTCCAATAAGAAAAAACTGAGAGCCCAAGCCCAATATTAACAATTCGAAAGCCCAATAAGGCAAAGCTGAGAGCCCAAGCCCAATATTAACAATTTGAAAGCCCAATAAGAACTTCGAGGGCGCAATAAGAAAAAATTGAGAGCCCAGCCCGTAAGCCCAACTGCAGGGCACGCTTTAAAGTTTCAATGACAAAACCATATTGAGTTCAAGGGTTTCAGCGCTAAGCTTCGGCTACAACCCTCTCTTCGCGCCTACTGTCAAGCAAGTTCGAGCTCAAAGAAGGATAATGGTTCGACCGTTTGCGGCGAAAGGGAAGAAGAGAAAGAAGACGGAAAGATACGACAGAGACGATGATGGCGAAGAATCGATCGCTTCGGCCAAGAAGGCTATGGTGGAGAACGAACCTGATGAACAACCAGAGAATGAAGCAGCCGAAGAAAACTTCCACGAGCTTGAAGGTATTCCAATCGTTCCGAAAGACCCCAAGAGTGATAGTAAGGCTGGTGTCATCTTCGTCCTCGAACGAGCTTCTCTGGAGGTCGCCAAAGTTGGGAAGGTAGGTATTCTCTTTTTTATGCATCGTTTTTGGCTTGCTGCTTTGGAGTTTTAGGATTTAATTCAATTATGGCGTGTAACTGAGATTTTTTATGCGTTTATGAAGTTCGAATTTACTATTTACTTTCCATCCTCTGTTTTTGTAAACTGTATTTCAATTTTCGTGGTTTTAGAATTACCAGCTGTTGAATTCCGATGACCACTCCAATTTTTTACGGAGAAACAATAGAAATCCTGGGGATTACAGACCCGACATCCTGCATCAAGTAAGCAGCTGTTGCTCACTGTTTTTCCAATTGGATAGGAGAGAGCGAATTGTTTACGTTGATATTTGAGTACCATAAGTGATATTAAATATAAATGATTCAGGCTCTCTTGGCGATTTTCGATAGCCGCATTGCAAAGGCTGGGAGGTTGAAAGTTGTTTATGTGAAAACTGAGAAAGGTTTATTAATTGAAATCAAACCATATGTTCGTCTTCCAAGGACGCAGAAGCGGTTTTATGGTGTTATGTGTAAGTTGATTTTGTTGTTCTAATTTGGCTGAACATCTAGCGAATTGGAGTCCGTTTTGAATCCTTTTCATTGGCGTTTTGCCAAATACTTTGCAGTGCAATTGCTACAAAAGTTAAGCATCACAGCTGCGGGCAAGCGTGAGAAGCTTTTCCGGGTGATAAAAAACCCTGTAACACAGTATTTACCTTCCAATTCTCGTAAAATGGGTAAGCCTATATAATGCTGTTTCCCCATTGTGACTTTTGGGGTTTGGTAGGAACTTTTCGTAATGTTTTCTTGCATATCAGGCTTCTCGCATAGTTCAGACAAGTTGGTCAAGGTGCGAACTTATCTGGATGCTGTCGAAGATGATGTAGACCTTGTTTTTGTGGTATCTTTAAACTCCCTACTGGAAATTTCACTTTTGCATGCTTCATTGTTATGTTTATACATATGACAACTACCTCTTACTTCCCTTTGCTGCAATGTGTATTAGGTGGGTGCAATGGCTCATGGGAAAATTGAGACTGGTTACACCGATGATCTCTTAGCAAGTAAGTTCGTTTTCTCATTTTCTTTCGTGTTTATTTCAAGTAATTGGATAGGAGGAAATGACTACATTAGTACATTTACTTGTAACTTCAGAAGATTTTTGAAGGATATAGTTTTAATATCATTTACTTTCAAGGACGGCTTCTAAATTGTAGCCAAACATAAGCATTGAGGTGGGCTTTTAAAGTTATGACCATTTGAAAGCACTTTCAAAGATATCAGAGAGTGGTTTAAGCATTATATGTTAGAAATCACGACTGTCTACAATGGTATGATATTGTCCTCTTTGAGCATAAGCTCTCATGACTTTGCTTTGGGCTTCTCCAAAAGGCCTCATACCAATGGAGATATTATTCCTCACTTATAAACCCATGATCATTCCACTAAATTAATCAATGTGAGACTCACTCCCAATAATCCTCAACATTATATTTGTAAAAAAATTGACTAGTTGGCACATTGCTCGAACTTTTACTGTTATTTCTAGGCATTATTATCTTGACTCTGTTTCTTATCCGAAAAGAAAAGAGAAGAAAAGTCTATTATCTTGGTCATGCAATCCTGAATTCTTTGCGAATTTTCATGTCATATTTGTGCAGTTTCTGAATATCCTCTCAGTGCTAGTTGCTGTATTGCGGATATTTGCAAAGATTTGGCAGATAAATGGAATGTAGGGTGAACCATACCTACAACTATGCATCCAGTTAAGTCTGATAATCAGTGTCTCAACTCTGTTGTTTCATATTTATTAGTTATTATTTCAGATTTTTCCTGCTTAAAAAATGAGCTGTAGAGACAAATTAAGCCTTACCATAGCTATTTCTGTGTAGCGAATTCTTAGTCGATTATGTTACCAATGCCTCTTCTAAATATAATTGAAAGCAGTTGATTTCTAGTTCGTAAAAGTTCGATCAGAAATGATCATGGTGAATAAGATACAAATTTAGTTTTCAAATGGCAAATAGTTCTAATTATGCCCCCAAGTTTTAAATAATCCTTGAAGTGTTTTATTGCAAGGACGCTATTCAAAATTGAATTTGAAAATAATGAATTTAAATTAAGCACATTTTCTACACATTAGACCAACAAGACGATCCATTTTGACAACCAGGTAGTAAGTAGGATGTTGCCACTATGCATTCTTGAGACAATGAAATGTCAAACGTAATAGTTTCAAATATGAACATCGAGTATTTTTTTTGTAATTAAACCTAGAAGATAAATAGAAACAATTTTTTGTTTCTCGAGCTATTACAAAAGGAATATATACACGATGTAAACAGTCAATGAGGTTACAACCTAGTAAAAGAAATAAAGATACAGTTTTAGCTGATGTACAAAGAAACATTTACAAACAAGGTGCATTGATGGATCAATGAATGATTACTTGGATTTGAGCTAAAGGGTTAGTAAAATTTAACATTATGGATACACATGAATAAGTATTTACCTTCATAGTCCTTGTACAGAAGCAAGCTGCTTCCTAAGATTAAGGTTCTCGATACATTCAGAAGCCAACTTTTTCTTCAAGTCTGCAGTAGCCTTCTCATACTTTCTATCCATAAGATCAGACTCATCCACTGCTCCCTGATATCTACTGCGGAATGCATCCAACTTTGCTTGAGTTCCTCGCAGCCTCATTCGAAGCTTAGCCTTTTCTTTGCCGTTCTGCACCTCATCCTATTTGCAAGCACGTTAGATTTTCCTTGAACAACATAAGATAATAATGGTAGATACATATGCCGTCTTATTTTATGCTCGCAAAACTAGTGTAGAACCAAAAGGGAATCAATCAGCATGAATATGTATTAGATGCAGGAAATACCCTACTCCTGTTTGTGCTAATCCGTAACTAATGCCATTTTAATACTCAGAATATCTCATTAGCAAATCACCTTTAGAGAATCAGATGTGGTTACTTACTACACCTTTGACGAGATAGTTGAAGTCCTACCCCTTTCAATGTCTTCATTATGCTTAAATTGAAAACTGCTTCGACAAATCCTCTTGACAACTTAGTACTTGAGAACTATTTCACATCTTGGGTAGCCTCTACATGTTTAAATTTACGAGCTCTAGTGCAATGTTTTTCTTCCCAGAAATTTATAAAATCCTAGGAAATCTTAGAGATAAAGGTTTTTGCCTGCCCTAGTTGAGGAGAATCTTTCAAAGGTGGCCTAATAATGTACTGCCAGAGGCTTCTTGAACAGCACAGTTTCTTCGATTATGTGAACCAACCAAATTTCCTTCTGTTCTTCCCATAAATGCAACCACCATTTTATATCATAATTCATTTGATTCACAAGAAAGTGTTCATCAACTTTCATCATGAGTCATAATCCTCTACGAAGTAGAATTAAAAAACTCTTACCTATTGGGATTTTCTCCAAGTGAAACTGTAAATAGGATAAGGGAAGAGTTTCAAATCTATAAACCACTTTTTGTGCTAGTTCTAGCAGCAATCTTGAAGCCCTTAAATTATCACCGAAGGCTAGGCCAAGTCACCTTTAATCCTAAAAGGAGTTTCGAAGAACTTAATTATATTGAATAACTAAAGAATCTTCATTCCACCATCTCAAAGAATTTAATGGCTGCAACTGTGCAACTATAAATGTGAAAGGTGTGTTCCATCTTTGCCCACCAATTGGAGAGAGAGAAACCCTTTTTAGTAACAGAACTTAAAAACTTATCACCATAGATCTAGCTAGCATCCAGTTTTGTCTGATACTTCCTACTCAATGACAACAACAACACCACACTATATGTTCGTAACAAATAAAACATAATCTATGAAAATGATGTTCAATATAGAGGTAGGATTTTCTTTCCTCCCATTAAAAGTGAAAGCAACATAGATTTAGTAAGTAGCACTATATATTCAAGAACTTACATCATGCATCTTAACTTCCAAGCTGGAAATTCTCGCGACCAATTTTTCCGTTTGAAGTTTTGCTTCTTTTAACTGCATTAAATTCATCAACATATCGTGTTCACGGTTAAAAAAACTTGGTTCAACATGAGAAAGACATAAAGAAACAGGCAAGTTTCGTCATCACCATCTCACTGGTATTATTTTTTAGCAATGCTAATTCGATTGAATGACTTTGCTGCTCTTGAATCTGAATCATCAGATTATCTCTTTCCTTCGTTACAAGAAGCAACTGGTTTCTAATACTCTGAAACATAAAAGACGTGTGATTAACTACAAATATTATCTTACCTGAATCCTAAAGTTTGCACGTAAGATCAAGCATAAGTTATGTTTCATTCCTATTATTTCTTCAAACATTTGTCTTTTGCTTTATCGATGAAGCTTCACATGTGAACCATTAACTAGAGGTGTCCAAACCCAACTGAAAAACTAGAATGATTCCTATCTTTTTTTTAATGTGTTACTTGGTTGGGTATTTTGTTTGATTCTAAATATATTTGATTTTTTCTCTGAAAATAACTTTTATTGAAAACAAGTGATATACGAAGACATTTTAGAAAAGAACATGAACAAAAGGAGCCAAAAAAAAAGCGAGCAAAAAGATCCCTGAAAAAATTAGAACAAAATAACAGAAAGGGAATCCAAATCAAAAGAATGAGAGACGAAGGATAATCACTGAAGTCCATCGTAAAGGAAGCCCAAACCTCCTCTTAAGAATTTTCCTTTTCACTAAGATACAGTATTATTTCACTAGCTATTAATGATATAATATTCAAAAGATCTTGATATTAGTGGAAGTCATACGTTTTAGCGTTTTCATTGAAACCTATCTTCAAATTTGAATGAATAATTCAACATTCAAATTCACGACAAAGATCTCATCTCATACCCAATCTCTCATTAAAAATTTAGAAAATAAATCTTATCCATTGTTCTTCAAAAATGTTCATTTTAGACCAATGGCAAAAGAAAATATTCGTTTGAAGTATTTGTATCATCAAGTCACGTTCACATCCATAAAAGTGCTGAAAGTAACAGAACTTACTTGCTGAATCGCTTCATTTTCAACCTCAGCTTTATTTTTCTCATTTTTTAGGTTCTCTATGATATCTAGCTTCTCCTTACTGCAATAAATAAGCAAAATTAACAAAACACATAAATGTAATATGCATCATTTGTTCTTCAAATAGGCGACCTGAGCCTAAGAAGCACAGACACAAATACATGACACAGATGCTCCAATACATCATTGCCTAAGAAATTAGGACAAGAACAGAACACGAGGACAAAACAAATTCAAAGTAAATTATATTAAATCAGTTCCACAACTGGAGCGTTGTGAAATTCTCATACATCTTTGGATTTGTAATAACAATAGACAGGTATCATATATTAAGAATCGCACTACATCATACAAATGCTAAGAAGAACCTAAGCACCTTCATTAGTATTGTAATATATTTTTGAACGAAACAAAATTTTCACAGTTAATACAACTACATTTATTATTAAACGAAGTTACAGATTAGACCACCTTTAACTTTGAAGCATCAATTAATATATGTAAAAACGAGATGCATGATCTACCAAACCCTATGAAGATACAATTGAGAGGAAAGTCTAGAAAAAACCTGAATTCTTTTTCCCTTCTCTCATTCTCCTCTGAACTTCTCAATCTGTGTTGAAGTACCTCACATTCTTCACGACAAGACTCCAAATCATTCATCACCTATATTATAAAATCTATAACTATTAGACCCATCATAACAAGCAAGCACTACACATTTTAGACATAAAAGTGCATGAAGGTTGTAAGAACATCAGACAAGTAAGAAAGAGAAAAGTGCAATGCCCATAATATATACTGTAAAATAAAATGGACTAACCATCGTGTCTTCGCAATCCATCAATGGATTACTGGTAAGAATTTATTCACGAAACAATCTGATGGCTATTTATGACTTTGTCTAAGCCTTTATTGGATAACTCAAATGCTTGAAAGGTATAATAACTTGATGAACAACTTGCTCTTCATTTTCAGCTTTACGGTTCATGTATAGCTTGTTATATTAGCACTACAACTACTATATCAAGTCTACTGTGTGCTTGTGAACCATAATGACTCATCTCGTTTCTGGTAATGTTGGTAACCCAGAGATTCGAGGGAAAAAATTAAAGGGCACTTGCATGTTAGCAATATTTTCCCAGTGAGATAAAAAAATTGCACATTTGCGAACAATAGACCTATCTACAGACTTCGATATTAAACATGTAGAACCATTCAAACATTAATAAATCATTCAACCTTTTCATGTGAACAATCTCCTTTATGCATTGTGAAGAATATATTTCATAGCATCTACTGTATTTTAGCTAGTGATTTACGTCTAATTTTATGTTACATAGTACTGCTTAAAGAGGAAGTCTTTTAATACGTAGGTTAAATTGGTATTAAAATTGTTTTAACTTCCATCAAATTGCATTATCCTTTGGGTATGGTCTCCTGAGACGATTAAAACTTGACGCACTAAAAATGTATTATTTCCAATTTTTTCGTTATCCCTATTGAGTTATCTGTGTAACTCTTACTACACTGCACTGAACCTGGCGTTATAACAGTACAACTAAAACAGAGTTAAAATTTAATTCCAACTACCTTACACAATGAATATTTCAATTCACCATAGCATAATGGAGTGAAGAAATGTGGTTGGAATATCTAAATTGGTAAAAAAAAAAAAATTCAGTTTTTACAAACAAAAAACATCCACATGAGGCTTTTTAAGTTATTAGGTCTTCATAGATAATAGGAAAAAGTACACTTTTGGTCCTTCAGATTTGGTTTAGGTTGTCTTTGGGACATTGAGTTTTAAAACTCAACAATTTTACCACCCACGTTTGCATTTGGTAGCATTTTTGGTTCCCCATCAGTTTTTCTGTTAGTTACAAACGAAAAGATGTCTTACA